AGAGGTGGGAGTGAGGTTAGAGTGGGGAAGTGGGAAAGGGGAGTCGGGGGATGAGGGGGAGGGGAAGGGGTTTGGGCCTAGTCAACCCCAACATTAGAACAATAAAAATTGGAGATGTGCTAGAAGTGGAGTTACGAGCATAGGGATGTGGGAGGGTTGTCGGGTTAGAGAGATTTGCAGACAAGGCAGAGAATTTTAAATTTGAGGTGTTGCTGATCTAGGGGAATAATGTAGGTCAAAAGCAGAGGGGTGAACAGAGAATGCGACTTGGTGCAAAATAAGGGAGAGGCAGCAGAGGTTTAGATGCTGTTAAATTTATGCGTGGTGTAAGTGTACGGTCAACCAGAACAGTGCTAAAATAGTCGGGTTTAGATGCAACAAAGACATGGATGAGACCCAATTCTACCCTCTGCTCCAATCCAGTTTTAAGGATACTCAACTGTGAATATGAAATTTCTTGGTAGCATTGAGGTTGTGACCTCTTTTGATGCTTGTCCATCAGATCTCCATGTCTCAAAAAATATAGAGTACGTTATTTTGTCACATTTATTTATATACTCAACTTACTTTGCGAACTCTTCTCCTCTATCTAACACAAATATACCAGGTCAATAGTTGACATTTGTTTATCAAATTGAAATGATCGTTGCAAACATACCTTTTAGATTTTCTGTGTTGCTTGCCAATTTGAAGTTAGCCTTGATACTTGAATAACTCTTCCAACTCTTATGCACTATTATTGTTCCAGATAATGGAAAACCAAAATCCCAACATCTATGTACTACAGTATGGAATTAACGACCAAGTCTCTGAAGAAGGGTCCCGATCTGAAACGTCAACTTTCTTGCTCCTCTGATGCTGTCTGGCCTGCTGTGTTCCTCCAGCTCCACACTGTGTTATCTCTGACTCCAGCATCTGCAGTTCTGACTATCCTGAGTGAGTTATATCCTCCGTAATATTGCTTTTGAATTAGTAGTCTACATTCACATTGGTATTTGAATGATTTCTGAAATCACATTAATTTATAATTGCTCATTAAATGTGCAATTAAATCATTAGCCTCATTTTGGTAATTATCTTTGGAATGTCTGTAGTTTACAATCAGGAAGTGCAGCGGAGCTCACACAGTGAACAACTGAGCCATTATTTGACAGCTTTTTGATGAATTCTCAGGAGGATATTTGCTCAGTTTTGTTTCTACCTCCCACCAACGAAATTCAGCTCATACTGGAGCACTGCCACTCCTCAATAACTGCAAAGCAATCAATCAACATTATAACAAATTTGTCATACCAACTGTAGTTTTGATATTTTTAAATCAATCTGCTCAGATTTGTTATGTCACATATCTAGAATACGTGGGACTTGAGACTAGGCTTTCTGACTCAGAGGTAAGGCCACTACCACTTTACACAACAGCCCTTACCAACTAGCATAATGAGAGTGAATAGGAGAACAAGATGACGATGTAAACATGAACATCAGCATATAAGTGTCTAAAGGAAATGGATGTGTGAATCTGTCTCAGATGTTGTGTATTACAGAGAAGTGTATTATGTATAACAGTGTAAATACAAATGTTCAAAGAACTTCCTAGAGTCAGATAGCAGTTACTGTTAAGGGGAAACAAGGATATATTATGTATTATATTACAAGGATAGCATTCTCTCCAAACTGCAAAATCGAATCCTGAGCCACAAGCCTCATGACGATCCAAGCATAATTAGAATCTTCAGAAAGAATCCATGCAACGATTTTTTTTAAACTGCCAATGCCAACATAAAATATTCTAATGAGAATTGACTTGCAGCGTAAAACTTGACAAAATAGTTGTGTTCGTGGGGTTGGAGCAATCAAGCTAGCCTGGAATCTTCTTGATCAATTCAGAGAAAATAAACAATAAAAACTGGTTTCTACGTGGTTAATAAGACCATAAGAAATAGGAACAGGAGTAGGTCGTTTGGCCCCTCAAGCCTGCTCCATCATTCAATAGGAATATGGCTGGTCCAACACTCCTCACATCCACTATCCTGCATTGTTCCCTTCACCCTTGATTCCCCTTCTGATCAATAATCTACCTATCCCAGCCTTAAGTACACACAAGGACTCCGCACCGACAGCTCTCTGTGGCAAGGAGTTCCAAAGTCTCAAAACCCTCTGAGAGAAGAAATTCCTCCTCATGTTAATCTTAAATTGGTGCTCCTTCATTCTAAGATTATGCCCTCTGCCTAGACTCTCCCATCAAGGACAGTTTCCTCTCCGCAGTTACCAGTATCCTCACAGCATTTACCCTAAAAATCCTATTTGTTTCAATGAGATGACTCTCATTCTTTTAAACTCCATCGAGTAGATTCAAAACCTGTTTAGCCTTTGCTGTCAGGGATCCCATATCAGGGATCATCCTAGTGAACATTCTCTGAACTGCCTCCAATGAAATGATATTTTTCCTTAAATAAGGGGACCAAAAAGCTCACAATACTAAAAAGATAAAATACTAAATTGCACAAACTAAACATTGAAAAATTAACTTCAAGAATGTTAAAAGAAAATTGGATTTAGAATGAAAATGATTGAATATGTACAATAACATAGACTGCGTATCATGAAGACATTCTGCTGAATTGAAACGTTTTCTTTTTCTAGCACACATGGAACACAGATTCACCAAGGCCCCAGAAGTACAGGCGATCTGGAGTCTGTAAAGTGACTGTAAAATATATTATATGGGGTTGCACCTAAGATCCATTGGGAACCTTCATCTCCACTGAGAACACCCTGTCTCTGCTGGAAGACCCCAGTTCCCAGGGAAAACTCTACCTCTGCTAAGAACCAGCACCCCCCAACTGGGAACACTCACCTCCACTAGGAATGCCCATCCTGACTCCACTGGGTTGCCCCTGCCTCTATTGAATGGAAAGGTGGTCCAGAGGGAAGTTGAAGACTAAGGGTGGAGAGAGAGCAGGAGCAATGGATGTTTCTATGAGTTACATGGTCACACCATAACAGATTTTCCACCACAGCTGGAGCTGTAACTAACTGTACACCTCTGCCCAGTAACTATTGTTTCAGTTTCGCAAATCGGGTAAGAATTATATTTGGAATGTATTTTGTTCAAAGTTTGATTCATTTTCTTTTGTTCTCATTGTTTATCTCACCTTTAACCTCAATCATGGTCACTGTGCAATAATTTATTTCTAAAGTTATAGCACTTCCCTCCAACACCCTGTTAAACAGGGGTTCATTCTTGCTGAATTTTAAGCCAGTTAAAGATCCTAGCGCCCAAGCCCAAATTCAACGTCAGACCATAAATAGCAGAAAGATCAGCCAGCTCGATAGGACTCACTCACATTTCGTGCTTGCTCCAGTAAAACTGTGGACCCACACCTCAAACACAGCCGAGACCATACCAAATGACAATGCTTTAATTGTCAACACCCAATCGTTGAATGTGTGTAAACTACATTAACGGTGTTATGTCTAATTAGGCCAGACATTTACACATTGAATCCTCCAGCATAGAAGAAAGGTATAAAGGTCATAGTACCTGCTAGCTCTCTAACAGAGCTCTCCCACTCCCCTACTCTTTTTCCATAGCTCTGACATCCTCACATTTTCGAATATATGTCCAATTCCAATTTAGGCATTAATTTCTTATTTTAAAGTCCAGTCATGTTTAAAGAAGGCCAGCTTTAGCAATACCCTCCTATTTAAGATTAAATTGAAATTGCCCCATCTTAAGAAATAGAAATACCATTGTTGATGAGACAACAAGGTGCAGAGCTGGATGAACACAGCAGGCCAAGCAGCATCATAGGAGCAGAAAGGCTGACATTTCGGGCCTAGACTTCCTTTTATTAAAATTCACTGATATTTAATTTTCCCCTTTAAGATGTGATAATATTATCCAGTTCTTCAGGCAGCAGACTAAACCACAGGCAATATTGCAATGGCCATATTGGAGAAGTAACGTCTCCCTTTTCGGGACACCCTAATGTCTTAGAGGGCACGTGGTCAAATTCACTTTTCTCCCATGTTAGCACCTTGTAGCAGGGTTACAGTGAGGTTTGACTGTCCGCCTTGTTCAGAAACTCAGATCCAGGGACCCTGGGGTCTACTGAGAATTTGCAGGAGGACAGTGTGCAATGTGGGTGCCTGGCTAGGCTGCTACAGTTGAGAGCAAGTGATCCATTCCCCTGCACAACATCCATAGTCCCCCATACTCCCAATACATCTTCCACGCCTGCACAAGCAAACTATACCCCCTTCATCCTCCCATCCCCCTACCTCTCCACTTCCCCCATATTGTTTTGTACATGCCCCTGGACCTTCATTCATAGCCAAATCTTCCCACCTTTTCCCATGCATTTTCTCCATTCACTCCCCATCTCCACTGCATTCCCACAACATCCCTGCACCCCCATGACACTCCACATCCCCTCAAATCCCTGGTCCTTCCCCATGCTCCCTGTGCACCTCAAACCAAATGCTCCTTCTGTAATTTGCAAACACCTACTTCCCCTTCTGAACTTCCATTCTCTGCTCTCTGACGGCTTATGCTCTCCCTCCGTTCCTGCAATCTCTGTCCTCCTGTTCATAAGATCTTAAGAAATAAGAACAGGAGTAGATCGTTTGGTCCTTAGGGTCTGCCTACCCATTCATTAGGACAATGACTGGTCTTAATGGAATAGTTAATATGCTCCAACCCTTTAAAAATAGCTTTCTCTCATTCTGGGTATTATATTGTCACGTGGGTGAGTGATTGCGAGGGCTGGGATGACTAGGGCCCTCTCACCAAAAACCTAGAACACACGGAGACTAAAATCAACATGACCCGAGTTGTTTATGTGAAATTCAGGCTGTACTTCTGGACCAGCTTTCTCAAGTACACACCCTCCAAACCCCTCCATGAGCCACCCACAGTTTCCAAGCTCCAGCTCCAACCGTCACCTCCGCGACCTCTGACCCCTCCACCCACCTTCCCCGACTCAAGTCCCGCCCCTTACCCCAGCTGAACCCGCGCGATATTTCCCAGATTCCACGAGATTTTCAGATCGCTGGGACAATATGGCGGAGGGTGAGAGTCTGGAATCATGGCTCAGTGAGTATCGAGGCTCCTCAGAGCTTGTCGCTGGGGAGTGGCACTGGTGGGGACAAAGTGGTCACCCTAGAACATTAGGGTACATACTGTTGGGCGCAGTTCTGTTTCTGTACAACACTATACACTACTGCTGGGGCGAGAGAGTCACTACATAGCACTGGGATACAGGACTGATGGGAATAGGACAGTCAGTGTATTATACAGGTACACTACTGCTGGGAACAGATCTGTTACTGTGAAATGCACAAGTCCGTTGCTGTCGGGCGCAGGTTGGTCGTTATAACACTAGGGTACGAAACTGCTGGATACAAGCCTGTCATTGTGTAACGACTGCATAGTACTCGTGGGCACAGTTCTGCCACTGCAACACTGTGGTACGATAGTATTGAAGACAGGTCTGTTTTTGGGTGGTGCTGGGCTTCAGTACTGGTGGAGACAGGGCTATTACTATATAATGCAGTCATACAGTTGTGGTGGAAAGAGGAACGTCACTGTACTATGCTGAGACAAACACCTGGGTTTAGCAGTTTTTTTCCCTCCCTTGGATATGGGGGCCAGATCTTGTTGCCCATCCCTAATTGCCCTTGAGAACAGGATGTTGATCCACCGTCTTGATCTGTTACTATCCATGTACTATAGACAGTGAAGGAACAGTAATGTAGTTCCAAGTTGCTTAAAAATACATCAGTGTAATACTGGGACAGACATCATGGTATTCTCATGTATCTCCTGCCTTCCTCTTCTAGGTAGTAGGGGTCAAAGATGTGGAAGGTGCTGCCAGAGGAGCCTTTGTGAGTTTCTGCATTGCATGATGTAGATAGTTCACACTGCTGCCACTGTGTTGATGGTGACAGAGTGAATGTTTAAGGTGGTGGATGGGATGCCAGGCAAACATTATTCAGGATAATGTTTGAGTTTCTTGAGTGCTGTTGGGGATGCACTCATCCAGGCTCCACCCTTGACCATCTGTTCTATACTGCAATAAATCTGTATGTATTTATGTCTTGTGGATGTTTTACAGACCTTCTCTTGTAGCCACAACATTCCTATTTCTGATTCAGTCCAGTTTCTAATTGATTGTGACCAGCAGGCTTTTGTTAGTCAGGGAATCAGCAATGATAATACAGTTGAATGTCAAGGGAAATGGTTAGATACTTTCTATTTGGAGAAAGTCTTAGCTTGGCACATGTGTAGCATAAATGTTTATTGCCTGTCATCAACCCAGTCTTGGATATTGTCCAGGCTATATATGAACATGGACTGCTTCAGTAGCTGAGGAGTCAGAAATACTACTGAATATTATGCAATTATCAGGAACTATCCCCACTTCCAACTTATTATGGAGTGAATATCCTTAATGAATCAGCTGAATATGGCTGTGCCTAGGACATTACAGTGAGGAACTTCTACAATGATATCCTGGGACAGACGTGATTTGTCTGTAACGACTAAAACCATCTTTCTTTGAGACAGGTATGACTCCATTGGAGATTTTTTTCCCTGATACCAGTTGACTCCAGTTTTGCTTGGGCTTCTTGAAACACATAATCTATCAAATGCTACCTTGATGTCAAGGGGAGTCACTTGCACCTCCCCTTTTAAATTCAGTCCTTTTGTCCGTGTTTGCATTTAAGGCTGTAATAATTTCAGGAGTGAAGTGACTTAGGTGGAAATCCATCCGAGTGTTAGTGATCATGTTATTGCTGTGTAAGTGTTGCTTGACAGCAGTATTGATAACTACTTCCATCAGTAAACTGATGATCAAGAGCAGACTGATGGGGTTAGAATTTTACACATTGCCAAGTAGATGCCAGTGTTGGAGCTGTACCGGAAGAACTTAACTAGGAAATGCAGCTAACTCCAAGGCACAATTTTTCAGTGCTTTGTTGAAATTTTGTCAGGGTCTTTAGTCTTTACAGTGTTCTGTGCTTTCAGCTATTTCTTGACATCATGTGGAGTGAATCAAATTGACTGAAGCCTGGGATCTCAGGAGAGGGTCATCCACTTGGTACTTCGGGTTGAAGGTGGCTGCAAACGTCACTGTAATAATGGGGTATGCAAATGTCACTTTAATGCTGCGATACTCATTCTCTTGGTTGCTTATCCAGGACGAGTGCCATTATATTGCTGTGAAAATATGACTTTTAATTACACCCTATCTGGCACACGTGATTGAAGCATGTTGTGTGAATTCTGATTTATTTTCCTATACTGAAACAACGTGCATAATACGATATGTAGTACAAAAATAAACGTTGGAAACATTCAGCAGTTCATGTGGCATCTGTGGGGAATTACATGACAATTTTTGATGATGATTCTGAGATTGAATCTTTCCTCAAAACTGGAACGGTGTTCTTTCTTCACACACAAGCGATTCTTGCAGAGCAGTTGTCCAGTTCTGGATAGTTAAGGCACTCTACTATACCATGATACTGGTAAGGTGAGTTCAGCTAACCTGGAGTTCTATGATTGAATGCACCTTTTGCCTCCCTACAGATAAAGCCACTAATCCTGCAAACCGTCAAGAGGATTGGGAGTACATCATCGGCTTCTGTGACCAGGTTAACAAGGAACTGGAGGGGTGCGTACACAAATGTTTCAGTGTTGCACTCTTATTTGCTTACAATATTTTGTCCAAAGGTGTTTTTTTTGCAGGTTAAAGTGAGTTTTCACTCTCTAGAATTTAGCAAAGATTTAAAGTCATGGAGGATCCACTTACACCAATGATGAGCAGGCTTTCCTTAGTGTAACATAACCAGCTACAGCAAGCTACACCCAGTAGAACATTGCAGTCCAGTTTCTGAGAGAAAGATTTATCTTTACTGCCACATAGATGCTCATTAGCACTGGTAATGGGAACACAATGTATCAAGTTTCTTTGTCCGTCACCCTTCCACAGACACTGACAATACCATCATCCTAACTGTTGATTTATATTGAATAGCTGGTGAAAGAAGTGGGAAATGTGGCCTTCCTTCATCGGATCTGCACAGACCACCAATATGCTGGTTCTGAGCAATATATCTCCAAAGCAGAATCTTGGGATCTCATCATCTAAAAGTCCACGATTACAGTAACCCAGTAGGAGATTCTGAATCATTCTCGTCTATTCCGGTACTGAACTGGCCCTGCCTGTCCTGGTACTGGACATCTTGCTCACAAAGTGGAAACTTACTGCAGGTTGAAAGGGGTCTCCCTGTCCATCCTGGGGACGCACTCTGTTTGACTATGATTAACCTTGTTTCTTGTGCCTGGAATTGTTTTGCACCAGTGATGAGTGATCAAGTATCCCAGACCTGGGGTCAGATAATGTATACATTCCAGTGGTGAAAAGCTAATGGTTTATGCTGTTTCATTCTTTAATTTCTCTCCCTAGGCCACAGATTGCTGTCAGGTTGCTGGCTCATAAAATCCAGTCTCCTCAGGAGTGGGAGGCAGTGCAAACCCTTACAGTGAGTTTTGGATTCTGCACCTAGTCTGTACTTCAGTCTTTTGTAGGCTTATTATGTTGCATGCGAGAGGAGGAACTCATTGCTGAGAGGACATTCTTAATATATTGGTGCAGGTTCTGCATCGCAACACTGTTCAGGCCCCCACAAATGAATACTTTGCATCAGTTTCAACTGCTGTGAAAGAAGTGGAAGTTAGAGAACGAAAGGAAATAAATAATGATGTTTTGAAAACAGTTCATGAAGAGGAAGTGCTGGAGGTCTTACAAAGAATTAGGGAGGAAATTGCAGGGCACCTAACAAAAATAGTTGTTAAATCTATAATTACGGGTATTGTACCAGAGGACTGGAGAGTGGCTAAACATGGAGCCATAGAGTCATACAGCATGAAAACAGACGCTCCAGCCCAAACTGATCCACGCCGAGCAAAGTGTCCATCCACACTGACTCCACTTCCCTGCACATGGCTCATATCCTTCTAAACCTTTTCCTATCCATGTGTTCATTCAAATGCCTTTTAAATGTTAATGTACCCGCCTCAACTACCTCCACTGGCAGCTCATTTCATATGTGTACCACCCTCTGTGTAAAAAAAAAAAAAAAAAAAAAGTTGCCCGTCAGGTTCCCATGTATTCTTTCCCCTCTTACCTTAAACTGATGTCCTCGATTCCCCAACCCTGGGAAAAAGACTGAGTGCATTCACCCAATCCATGCCTCTCATGATCTTATACACTTCGATAAGATCTCCCTTCAGTCTCCTACGCTCTAAAGAAAAATGTCCTAACTCGTCCAGCCTCTCCCTGTAACTCAGTCCCTCGAGTCCTGGCAACATCCTTGTAAATTTCTTCTGCACTCTTTCCAGTTTAATAACCACCTTCTTCTAGCAAGGTGACCAAAACAGAACACAATACTCCAAGTGCGGCCTCACCAACTGCATCATAATTTCCCAACTTCTATACTCAATGCCCTGACCGATGAAGGCCAGTGTGTCAAAAGCCTTCTTCACTGCCCGGTCTACCTGTGACCCCCATTTCAGAGAACCGTGCATCTGAAATGCAAGGTCCCTCACTTCCACTACACTCCTTAAGGCCGTACCCATGAAACTCTTACCTTGATTTGACTTTTCAAAATGCAACACCTCACACTTATTAAACTCCATTTGCCATTTCTCAGCCCACTTTCCCAGCTGATCAAGATCCTCCTGCAATTTCTGATAACCTTCCTCACTATACACGATAATCATAGAATCACTATAGTGTGGAAACAGGCCCTTTGGCCCAACAAGTCCATATCGACCCTCGGAGCATCCCACCCAGACCTATCCACCTATAAACCACCCAATCTACACATACTTGAACACTATGGCAATTTAGTATGACCAGGCCACAAGCCTGCACATCTTTGGACTGAGAGGAAACCGGAGGAAAAGCATGCAGACACGGGGAGAATGTGCAAACTCCACACAGACAGTCGCCCGAGGGTGGAATCGAACCCAGGTCCCTGACGCTGTGAGGCAGCACTGCTAACCACTGAGCCACCGTGCCGCCCAATAATGTTGTGCTATTATTTAAGAAAGACTGTAGGGAGAAGCCTGGAAACTCTATACTTGTGAGTCTGACGTTGCTGATCGGTAAATTGGTGGAGATGATTCTGAAAGATAGGATATACATACATTTGGAGAAGCAAGGATCGATTAGGGATAGTCAGTATGGTTTTGTGTGAGGAAAATCATGTCTCACAGATTTGATTGAGTTTTTTAATGAAGAAATCAAAAAGATTGAAGAGGGCAGAGTGGTAGATGTTATTTACATGGACTTCAGTAAAGCCTTTGACATGGTTCTATATTGTAGGCCAATTAGTAAAGTTAGATCACTTGGGATTTAGGGTGAGCTTGCCAATTGGATACAAAATTGGCTTTGTGGTAGGAGACAGAGGGTAGTTATGGAGGTAGTAGGAACTGCCGATGCTGGAGAATCTGAGATAACAAGGTGTAGAGCTGGATGAACACAGCAGGCCAAGCAGCATCAGAGGAGCAGGACAGCTGACGTTTCAGGTCGAGACGCAAATTCAGAAGTAGTTATGGAGGATCGTTTTTAAGACTGAAGGCCTGTGACCAAATGGTGTTCCACTTTTTGTTTGTAATTTATATACATGATTTGGATAAGAATTTAGGAGGCATGGTTGGTAAGTTTGCAGATGACACCAAATACGGTGGAATAATGATCAGTGAAGAAGGTTATCTTAGATTACAGCGATCTTGATCAATTGGGTTGAGGAGTGGCAAATGAAGTTTAATTTAGATAAATGTGAGGTATTGCATTTTGGTAATGCAAACAAGCATAGAACTTATTCAGTTAATGATCGGGGTCTGGGTAGTGTCATAGAATAGAGAGACCTTGGGATTCAGGTACATAATTCTTTGAAATTTGCATCGCAGATAGACAGGAGAAAGCATTTAGCATACTTGCCTTCGTTGCTCTGACTTTTTGAGTATAGGAGTTGGGACATCGTGGTGAGGTTGTACAGGATATTGGTGAGGCCTCTTCTGGAGTACAGTTCTGGTTGCCCTGTTATAGGAAGGATATTATTAGAACTGGAGAGGATACAGAAAAGATTTACCAGGATGTTGCCAAGAATGGAAGGTTTGAGATATAAAAATAACCGGGAAAGACTGCGACTTTTTTTTTTACTGAAACAGGAGATTGAGGGGTGACCTTATAGCAGTTTATAAAATCATGAGGAGGATAGATAAGGTGAATGACAAGGGCCTTTTCTCCAGGGTGGGAGAGTTCAAAACTAGGGAGCGTATTTTTAAGATGAAAGGACATGAGGGGCAACTTTTTCACACAGAGAGTGGTTTGTATGTGGTATGAACTACCAGAGAAAGTGGTGGATGCAGATACAGTTACAATGTTTTAAATACAAGTTCATGAATATGAAAGGTTTGGAGGGATATGGGCCAAGTGCTGGCAGATGGGAGTAGTTTAGTTTGGGAACGTGGTTGGCATAGACTTGTTGAACTAAAGGGTTTGGTTCCATGCTGTATGACTCTATAAAGGGAAACACCGCTTCAGTGGACTTTCTGCAGGCCCAGTTGCATTGTCATGTTAGAGGCGAATGGGGAAATTGGTCACTGCATCTTTGTTGGAGCAGCCACTATCCTGGGTCTGGCTGAGTACGTGAGGCAGCTCCAATACACCTTATTTTGGGGCACACATTTCAGCAGTAGCTGTTTTAAAGGCAATCTTGGGTGTAGTCCAGAGAAAGGTTTCTTACAAAATCATGAGGTGTTAGATTCTTCACATTCATCCATGAAAACATTGTCGAATTTTTATTGCCATGTGTTCAATTTTGCTACGCAGAAGACTTGGGTAAAACTGAGGAACGATGTTGTTAGACTTGAGAGGGTGCAGAAAAGATTTACAAGGATGTTATCGGGTCTGGAGCGTTTGAGTTAAAGGGAGAGGCTGAATAGGTTGTGCTTTTTTTCCTTGGAACGTCGGAGGCTGAGGGGTGACCTTATCCAGGTTTATAAAATCATGAGGGCCATGGAGAGGGTGAGTAGCCAAGGTCTTTTTTTAAAAAGAGTAGGGGAAGTCCAAAGCTAGAAGGCATCGGTTTAAGGTGAGAGGGGAAAGATTTAAAAAGGACCCGAAGATCCCTTTTATATGGAGGGGTTGGTGAGTGTATGGAACAAGTTTACAAATGGGATTACAAATAGGAAAGGTTTGGAGGGATATGGGCCAAATGCTGGCAAATGGGACTAGGTCAGATTGGGATATCTGGTCAGCATGGACAACTTGGACTGAAAATTCTGTTACTGTGCTATATGACTCTGTCTGTATTCCATTCATGGTAATATTTTGTTTGAATCTAGGTATTAGAAGCTTGTATGAAGAACTGTGGCAGGAGATTTCACAATGAAGTTGGAAAATTCCGATTCCTGAATGAATTGATCAAAGTAGTATCTCCAAAGGTGGGTTCTAAAGGTTCCTGTGCACAGCATTTAGGCTCAAACTTAAAGAGCAATAGAGCATGTCACAACTTCAGACAAATGGCTGGTACACAATGATCAATAAATAGTTGCACTAAATGATGACATTCTGTGCAATGACTTATATTTATTGAATATAAGTTGAAGATTTCGATGAACATGCATTCTGAAAATCAAATCTATTCCTGCAGTATAGATGGTAAGGGACTTGAATCTTGTTAACAAACACGTAAGATGACAACTGTAGGTGACAGAACTGGTAAGGCCTGTCGTTATGTAATGTGGGGACAGATCTGCCACAAATAAACTGGCGTGCAGTGCTGGCAGGATATTGTAATGGAAGGTACAAGTCTGTTTCTCTACTGTATAGTTTGGTGGGGACTGGCCTTTCATTGTATATAATGGATTGCCCAATCTCTGGGTTGCCCACAAAGGATCAGAACCACTATACTACTTTGCATCATCTTGTGGTTTTTGTTTAAAGGTGCTTTTATACTACAAACTGTGGGCATGCTGTCTCCCTGTGCAGCTGCATGGTGTACAATAATGCTGCCTAGATTGCAGAAACTAATGGCAGTGGCTATCAGTGCTCCTACTGTGACATATCAGGAAGTTGAGTACAGTTGTGGAGAGACATTGACCATGAGACACTGGAGATGAATTAGGCCTCACACTTTCCCATGTTGTATTTCATCTGCCATTTCTTTGCCCACTCTCCTATCCTATCCAAATCCTCTGCAGCCTCCCTGCTTCCTCAATACTACCTGAATTTCCACCTATCTTTGGTTCCATCATGTATATCGTTAATGTATAACATAAATAGGTGTGGTCCCAACACTGACCCCTGTAGACCTCCACTAGTCACTGGCTGCCATCCTGAAAAAGACCCTTTATCCCTGGTGTCTGCCTTCTACCAGTCAGCCAATTCTCAATCCAAGCCATACCTTGCCCTGAACACCGTGGACTGTTATCTTATTTAGCAGCTTCCTATGCGGCACCTTGTCTGGAAATCCAAATAGATCATGCCCACTGGCTATCCTTTGTCTAACCTGGTCGTTACCTCCTCAAAAGAATTCTAACAGATTTATCAGGCATGACCTCCCATGCCATGCAGACTGTACTCTATTTAACCATGACTTCCAAGTACTATGCAATCTCATCCTTAATAATGGACTCTCAAATCTTACCAGTGACCAAGATCAACCAGCCAATAGTTTGCTGTCTTCTGCCTTCCTCTCTTCTTAAACAGGTGTTACATTAGCCATTTTCCAGTTTACCTGCATATTGAAGTCTTTCATGATTATTTCTTACGTGCCTTTCCATCTCTTGATTTTTTTTCTTCCCCATTCCTGACTACTTCTGGAAGGCCTATAATCAACTGGATATATGTAGCTATTAAAACAAGCTGTTGTCATAGTGCAGTGATTTAATGCTCATCTTTAGTCCTGCCCCCAATCCCAGTTCAGCTTTGTGAAGTTGTAATTAAGATTTGCCCCATCCTTTGGTCGCATGATGAAAAATATTTTCAATGTGGTGAACTGATCACCATCAGTTTGGGTAAGTATCAAAATTCTATTGGACAACACTGATTTTAAAGTTGCTGGTGGAATGTAACAGTGCTGGTGATGCTGATATCCTCATAACATCTTTCCATTTGAACCTGACCGTCGAATTAAAGGAGATTGAGGTGGATGTTTAAAATGTTATAGCTCAGTTGTAAAGATATAGAAAAGCAATTCGCTCTGGCTGAAGAAATTGAAACCAAAAGGGCTGCAATCTTTACATCAGAATTGGACCATTTAGGTTTGAAATTGGGAGCCAAGTCTCCATAAAGAATGGAGTGGAAATCTGGAGCACTTCATGTCCCCACACCCAAAAAATAATAAGCTGTGGATATGCAGGGAGAAAATTTGAGCTTTCCACTTGGAGTTTGATAGATTGTTGTTGGGCAAGAGAATTAAGTGATACGAAGCAAGGAAAGTGGTTAAGATTCAGATTACGCATGACTGAATAGATTGATAGAACCAGTCTGTGAATCTGAATGACCACCTTCTGTTCCTATTTTCACTTTATTTCATTTTAATTTGTTGTTTTTTTAAACAGTATTTGGGAGACAGGGTATCTGAAAAGGTCAAAACAAAAGTGATTGAATTACTGTACAGCTGGACGGTTGCTCTGCCAGAGGAAATCAAAATCAAAGATGCCTACCAGATGTTAAAGAAACAAGGTATGGAGGGTTTGTCCTGGATTCTGCATTTTTCTCCATGTTATACAATCACCACGGATGTTGATGGGGTATTCAATAAAAATTTTGCCCGAGGTTCGTTGTGCCAGTTTGTATAGCTGTGAAGCCAGGGACTTGTTTTCCTGAGGAAAAGTCTCTTTACTCCAGAGTTATACCTATCATTGGGATACTGAGTGTTTCTGGGCTTTGGTTACCTGGCAGAGTCAGTCCATTCCCAATTTGACCTAGTGGTCAGTATTCATATACAGTCCTCAACAGCTAGTCCATGGGCTACTCGTCTGAAGGAGGCGCCACTTTGATTCAGTTCTGACATGCTTTCTCAGGAGTAATTGGATAACCATTTTGCACAGAAACCTCAATTGAAATTTCACCTCCTTAGGCACAGCTCTCTGATACAGTTACAGGTTCATCATTCATTTCTGTTACAAACAGAGTCTGTCAGACCTGTTAGTCCCACAGTGACAGCTCTGCTAGCATTTGAAAGAAGAGATCAGCATTTTGGGCAAGCTATGTGGGACCAGTCTGAATACAGGGCCTCCATCTGAGGGCTCGGCCAGTGGGAGTCTGTCTCCCTCTTTATGATGCTGCATATCTACAATGTTTTCTGTCTGTGCTGCACTGTTTATAAGTAAACACTGGTCTGATGAATAGATTTGGGCAGCTGACATCCTGTGTTTTCCTTCAAGGTGTATTGCAACATGATCCTCAGATCCCAGTTGATAAGACCCTGATTCCCTCACCCCCAACTCGTCCGAAAAATGCGGTATTTGAAGATAATGAAAAATCTAAGGTAGGAACATAACATCGTGCAACTAGTAACCAGCTTTATGTCCAACTCCCACATAGAGACTTCAACAAAAGGAAAATCTCTTTGTGTTGCACAAACCATATGGTGAAATTGCGACACCATTCATAGGAAGAACAGTATCTGTGTAAGTGCATGTTGTCGTAGGTATCACTTCTGCATGCTTTGTTTAAATGTAGCCCAGATTGAAGGTTACTGTCCATACAGGTCCTTGGGACTGCTGCAATACTGTCTGTACAGGTCCCTGGGATGGTGTTCTGTGCAGTCCTCACATGGACTGAGGAGATGCTGTCCGTTCAGGCTCCAGACATACTGAAGGGGCACTGTCTGCTCAGGTTCAACAGGTACTGAGGTGACAGTGTTGTAGAGATGCCTGGAACTGCGGGGATTCTGTTCCACGTAGGTCACGCAGGGACTGAGGGGATATTTTCCATTCAGACTTCACATGGACTGAAAAGATACTGTTCGTTTAGGTACTGCACATACTGAAGAATACTGTCATAGAGATTCCTCGAACGGTGGGAATTTTGTTCTGTACAGGTGCCACATGGACTGAGGACACACTGTCCATTCAAACTCCACATGGACTGAGGGGGATACTGCCTGTTGAGGCTCGACATGGAGTGAGGGGATATTGTTTGTCAGATCCACTGGACATGAGCCTTGGATTCCTACCACTGGCTGTTTGTTGGGTTGTCTCAGTGCTTTAATTTGGAATGTACAACATTACCACTGGTCTGTGAAATTGAGAAATTCAGATTTTGACTGTGCTTGGTTGCTTGCTGCTTTGTGCAATGCTCTTAGGCAATAGACTGTAATATGAATTTAAAAGAAACTTGCACAATTTTCTTTTCTCGTAGCTCTTAGCCAGGTTACTGAAGAGCAAAAACCCAGTGGACCTTCAAGAAGCTAACAAACTCATTAAGAATATGGTGAAAGAGGTAAGGAGGACAAAGCAGACCAAAAACTTTTCCTCCAATGGGGAAATGAGGTGTGCAGGATATTTCCAGGGAAGGTCATTGAAGTTTTTCAAGGTGGAAATGAAAATTATGTGTAACACTGGACACAAAGGTTTAAGTTGAGAAGGTAGGTTTGAGGTCTGGGACAAGAATGTCGGTAGTTTGAGGATGGATAAATGAGAAAGTGGGTAGATGTGATAACAACTTGGACGTCTAAAGCATCTTTAGTGGAATAAACCGTCTCGTAACCTTCCCTGGAATGTTACCAAACCACTTAAGGAGATAATTTATCAGATGACCAAAGTTTAGTCAGAAGTAAAGGATTAAAGGAGCATCTTGAAGAAGGAAAGTGAGATAGGGAGCAGGAGCATTTCGGGAGCAAATTCTCAAACGTTGTGCCCGAGTACCAATGCCAATAGTGGAGCAGTTAAAATCAGAGTTGCTCAAAAGGTCAAAATTAGGGGAGTGCCAATTTCTAGGGGGGTTGTAGGCCTGGGGAGGGCAGGGCCCTGAAGGGATATGAAAACAATGGTAGTAATTTTAAAGTCATAGAGTCATACAGCATGGAAACAGATCCTTCAGTCCAACCAGTCCATGCTGAACATAGAACAGTACAGCACAGTACAGGCCCTTCGGCCCACGATGTTGTGCCGAACTTTTACCTTAAGCCTAAGGTCTATCTAACCTCCACCGCTACCTTATACTATCATCCATATGCCTATCTATTAGCCACTTAAATGCCCCTAATGAGGCCAACTCCACTACCCTCTCTGGCAATGCATTCCACGCCCCTACCACTCTCTGAGTAAAGAACCTACCTCTGACGTCTCCCCGATATCTACCTCCTTTCACTTTAAAACTATGTCCCCTCGTAAAAGCTACCTCCACCCTAGGAAAAAGTCTCTGGCTGTCTACTCTATGTATATCTCTGATTATTTTGTACACCTCTATCAAGTCACCTGTCATCCTTCGTCGTTCTAAAGAGAAAAGCCCTACCTCTCTCAACCTTTCCTCGTAAGACCTTCCCTCCATTCCAGGCAACATCCTGGTAAATCTCCTCTGCACCTTTTCTAATGCATCCACATCTTTCCTGTAATGAGGTGACCAGAATTGGACACAATACTCCAGATGTGGCCGAACCAGGCTTTTGTACAGCTGGAGGTTAACTTCACGGCCCTTGAACTCAATCCCTCTATTAATGCAAGCTAACACACCATACGTCTTCTTAACAACTCTATCCACCTGGGTGGCAGCTCTCAGGGAACTGTGAACATGAACCCCAAGATCCCTCTGCTCCTCCACACTGTCAAGAATCTTTCTGTTAACCCTGTATTCTGCTTTCAAGTTTGACCTTCCAAAATGAATCACCTCACACTTTTCAGGGTGAATCTCTATCTGCCACTTCTCAACCCAGCTCTGCATTCTATCAATGTCCCTTTGTAACCTAGAACAGCCCTCTGCACTGTCCACAACGTGACCCACCTTCGTATCATCCGCGAACTTGCTAATCCACCCTTCCACTCCTTCATCCAAATCATTTACAAAAATCACAAATAGAAGAGGACCCAGAACAGATCCTTGTGGTACACCACTCCTAACTGAGCACCATGTTGAATATTTTCCGTCCACTACCACCCTTTGTCTTCTAAGGGTCAGCCAATTCTGAATCCAATCTGCCACATTTCCCCCTATCCCATCCCTCCTTACCTTCTGCATGAGCCTACCATGGGGAACCTTATCAAACGCCTTACTTAAATCCAGGTATACCACATCCACTGCTCCACCTTCATCCACGTGTTTGGTCACCTCTTCAAAGAATTCAATAAGGTTTGTGAGGCATGATCTACCCCTCAAAGATCCATGCTGACTATCACGAATCAAACTGTGCCTTTCCAAGTGATCATAAATCCTGTCTGTCAGAGCCCCTTCCAATAATTTGCCCACCACTGATGTAAGACTAACTGGCCTGTAATTTCCAGGGTTATCCCTGTTCCCTTTTTTGAACAAGGGAATGATGTTTGCCTCTTTCCAATCTTCCGGCACAATACCCGTGGACAGTGAGGACGAAAAGATCATCGCCAAAGGGCCTGTGATCTCGTCCCTCGCTTCCCATAGAATCCTTGGATAAATCCCATCAGGCCTGGGGGACTTATCTATCTTCAACTTTCTCAGAATTCCTAGCACATCTTCTTTACTAACATCAACCTCCTTTAGCCTACCTGCCTGTTTCACAACGTCCTCCTCTACAACTAGGTCTCTCTCAGTTGTGAATACTGAAGAAAAGTATGCATTAAGGACCTCTCCTATCTCTTTAGGCTCTGTGCACAAATTCCCTTTACAATCCTTGAACATAATCTCTTCAAATATTTCCTATTCATGCACTTATCTAAATGTCTTTTAATTACACCCACATCCACAACTTCCTCAGGAAGTTCATTCCACACGTGAACCACCCTCTGTGTAAAAAAATTTGTCCCTCCTGTCTTTTTTAAACCTCTCTCCACTCCCTGTAAAATGTGTCACCTAGTACCTTAACCCTACCTATCCCTCATTATTTTATAAACTTCTGTAAGGTCACCTCTAAACCCCCTACGCTCCACTGAAAGAAAGTCCCAGCCTATCCAGCCTTTCTTTATAACTCAAACATTCCATACCCGGCAGCATCCTCGTAAATCTCTTCTGAACTCTCTCCCGCTTAATATTCTTCCTATAACTGGGCGTCCAGAATTGGACACAGTATTCCAGAAGAGGCCTCATCAATGTCCTGTACAACCTCAACATGTCTTCGTAAATCCTATATTCAATGGTCTGAGCAATGAAGACAAGCATGCCAAATGCCTTTTTAATTACCCTGTCTATATGTGACACAAACTTCAAAGAATTATGTAGCTAAACCCCTAGGTCCCTCTGTTCTACAACACTACCCAAGGCCCTACTATTAATTATATAAGCCCTATCCTTGTTTGTTGTACCAAAATGCAGTACCTCGCAATTAGTCAAGGCATTGCTTAACCAGGAATCATTTTAGGTCAGCAAGCATAGGGGTGATGGGTGAATGGACCCAAATTATGACACAGGCAGCACAGAAGTTTTGAATGAGTTTAAGATTACAGAAAGTAGGAATGGGAGACCAACAAGGAGAGTTGAAATTGTTAATCCAAGAGTTAACTAAGACATGGCTGACGATTTCAGCAGATGAATTGAAGTGGGGTAAATGTCACTGGTTTTAGTGATGGAGAGGATATAGGGTTGGAAATGCATCTCCACATTAATAGAACAAGTTTGTGTTGTTGATGGTTAACAGATGAAGCAAATGCCACAAGTGATTTGGTTATGGAAAAGAAAACTACTCAGTTGTGTGTAAGAGCACTTCTGGAAATGAAAACGAGGAGGTGGGTTTTGAGGTTCTTGTGGTGCAGTGGTAGTGTCCCTACCTCTGAGCCAGAAGGCCTGAGTTAAAGTCTCATGTGCCCAAAAGGTGCATCACAATACACCTGAACAGGTTGACTAAGAATATCTATAACAGCTCAATTCTTCACTGCAGATGGGCAGTTTTTGTTTCTGTGTGTAATGTGATCATTTGATTTGGTTTTTTTAAAGAAGAGTTGGGATCTTCTCCAGTGGGGAGTCAGGTTTTGGTCATGGAATAGATCTGGAAGGGAGAGTTGGAAACTGGTGTTTGTGCTGAACTATAGCTTTACAATAAATCTCTTGTAAATCTCAAAGAAAATACTTAAGTTTGAGAGTCTGTTTCAGTCTTGGACAGTTACCAGCGATAGAGATGAAGTTGCTAGTTCAGGAAAGCATGCAGTGGAGCTGAAGTCAATGCTTCAGTCCTGCAAATACTTAGTTGGAGAAAGTGTTTTGCTCATCCATGATTGGATTGGCAGCCTGATCATCTGGTAATAGTCAGGAGTAGAGAGGTGGTATGAGGTAAAACTGGATGTTGTCAGAAGAGATGAGAAATGGGAAGATGCCAAAGATGAAACTTTCGAGAACGCCAGAGGTAACAGTGCAGGAATAGGAAGAGAAACTTTTGCAGGTGAATCTCTAGCTATGCTTAGGTGAATGAGAATAAAACCAGGGAAGAGCAGCCCCATCCAGCTGGACACCGATAGAGAAATGTTAGAGGAGGATGGAGTAGTCAAACAGTATCCAATGCTGTAGATCGGTTGAGAGGTCAAGGAAGGAAAGGTTGCCTTTGTCACTGTCACGTTTGCGAGTTTGATGGGGGAAGCGATGAAATAGCAGATATGTGGGACAGATGGAATGTCTGGTTTAAAGTGGGGAAGAATGTGGGTTAGTGTTTTGCTAACCTGACCTGCTCCAGTCTTAGGAATATTTGACAAGACAAAATAGAGGAAGCTTTACTCGATATTACACCCTCTGCTGTACCTGCTGTGGGAGTGTTTGATGGGTACATTCTGGAGGAAGCTTTACTTTCAGTTTAAAAAAGGTAGAGAGTTTTACTTTGCATCTAACCCAGTGCTGTACCTACCCTGGGAGTGTTTGGGGACAGTATTGAGAGAACCTTACTTTCAGTTTTAAAAATTAGAATGTGTTTTACTTTCACTTTAAAAGAGTAAAGGGAGCTATACTGTATATCTAACCCCATGCTGTACTTGTCCTGAAAGTGTTTCACTCTCAGTTTAAAAGAGCAGGGGGCGCTTTACTCTCTCTCCTAACCCCAATCAGTATCCACCCTTAGAAGCATTTGATAGTTTTCCTCTTGCCTATAACATCAAAAGATTGTATTATTTGGACTAAATGTAAGCTCAACAAATGTCTTAAGATGGACCTGGATAATGGTGATTTCATGTTTTATTCAGCTTTGCTGAGTGTGTTTGCTGCACAGCAGAGTAGAGGCAGACTTTGAAAGCTCAGGTTGTTTAATTTCTGCACCGTTCGCAGGATGAAGCCCGAATGCAGAAAATAACAAAGCGTTTGAACACTCTGGAGGAGGTGAACAATAACGTACGGCTTTTGAATGAAATGCTGGCTCATTACAGCAAAGAAGAATCGTCAGAAGGGGACAAAGAGCTGATGACGGTAATCCTGAGCACCGGTCTCCCTACATTAAATTCACTTATTACTTTATTTTTGAAGGCTGCAGTTTAATGCGTAATCCCAAAGCACGCACACAAACAAACACACAAACTGCTTAGTTGCAGTTCACCTTCTTTAGACACCTTCACACGCATTTTTCTTATCTCTAAATTCAACTACTCTTATACAATCCTGGTGGCCTCCCATCTGCTATCTTACATAAACTTCAGTTCATATAATGCTATGCTACCTATAATCCTATCAAGCACTAAATCGTCCAGCGTCCCTGCTTCACACCCAGTTCCACAACATCTCCAATTTAGTTTGTGGTTCTTGTAAATAAATTGCTTCAGTTTATTCATCCCGTGTCTCTTTGTAATTTCCTCCAGCCCTCTGCGTCGTCTTCTCGTACTTAATGCGCATTCCAGTAGTTTTGTCCCAGTTGCCAAGACTTCACATTTGAAATCTCCTCTCTAAATTTCACTCCTTCTCCTCTTCAAAGCTCACTTCTTTAACCAAAGCCTTTGGTTAATATTTCTTTCTTGAGATCCATGTCTATTTTTGTTCCAGTATGCTCTGTGAAACAACCTAGGACATTTCTTTGATGTTAAAAGTAGTTTATTAATGCAAGCTTTTGTACAAAGGGTGCAGAGAGCTTCCAATGAAGAAGCTGATGCTGGACTCTGTACACGAATGGATAACACACATTCTGCTGCTTTTCAGGAGTTGTACGAACGATGTGAGAAGATGAGACGGACATTGTTCAAACTTGCAAGTGAGACTGAGGACAATGACAACAGTTTAGGTAGGTCAGGAAGTTTCCTCTTCATGCTGTAAACGGATGGGATTTGACTATCCCTCACCAACACCTCCTTTCCTGCTTCACTCAAGAAGTTGACTCGTGCTTCCCTGGTACCATCCTTTACCTTGTCCAGAGGACATGTTTGTTAAATGTCATCAGCAACGTGGTGAGACAGCACAGCTAAACTCAATTTTATCTTTGGTTGATGCCTCCATGTATAATATTGTTCATGAAAGCATCACTGAAAAGCAAACTCGACCTGCCCCATTCTCCACCACATACGCTCTCACATCCTTGCTCATACCATAATATGCTCGTGTGCTCCTCAGTTCAATGCATTTTAAACAGCAATGCTGAACTCAATTGTAGAACATGTCCCCCTGATTTGATTGCAGTCAACTCTCACAGGCTCAACCTGAGTCTGAGTCTTTCTGGCTCAGTTACACAATGGCTTTACAATTCAAGTCTTCAAGAGGCCAAAGAGTTTGTGTAAATCCTAAGATTTGTGATCAAAGCAAGTTCAGACCTTTGAAGATATGCTTTCTCAAAGTATGGTACAGTGTTCAGGAGCTGTCTGCTGGTACAACCTAAAATACAACGCTTCTGTGACCTTTCAGTGGAGGGTCCAAAAGTTAGACAGCCCCACTGAAAGACAACATAAAATGTTTCCCTCCCCACAAAGATACCAGCAGCCTGAATTTATTTCTGTCATGTGTGGGCAGAGATAAGAAACAGCACCTTCAAAACAGTGTAACAAATTAGAGAGGGTTATGTTTGGGAAGCATAGGGTGGGAGCAGCATATTTATCTCCCCATGTTTCTAGTGTGGCGTGATGAGGAATAGGTATCTAAAGGATAAATAGTGCATCAAAATAAAATTAAAAGTTTGCCAGTACCTGTTAGAGAAAAGGATAGTTTCTGATGTAATGTTCACTTACTGACCAACTTCCTGTGCTTTTAACCTACTGGTATTTTAAGTGAGATTAATTTAACTAATTGTTTAGGTTCACATTTTGTGATAGTTTGACTTTTTGAAGAAATAAGAATTTTGTATTTGTTTTAAAACATGAATTAACACAGGTTAAAAGGGACTGTGAAATGACAGGTACCTATGATGGTGCTTTTGATGTTTCCACCATTGACTGTAAATACTAGGTCATGAATCCATCTCTATAGTCGAAAAATATGTTACACCCAGTCTTCCAAAAGGATTTGTTAATGGAAAGCTGCAAGAGCTCTCATTGCGACAAAGACTGAAATACTAGGGGATGGTCAGAAGTCATTGTGTTATGTTGTGTAAGAGGGCTATTGATGTGAGGAAGTGTAGTTGGATTTTTAGTTATTTTGTATACTTGATAATAGATTAAATTGTGTTCAACCATAACGACTGTTATGTCTGCTCACCTTCCTCTGAAAGTGGCATACTGCTTTTTGTCTGCCTCGACTCACGAAATATTTGCTTAGTTCACTTTGTCCGAAATTAAAGTCACACATGAGCAAAAAAGACAAATATCCCAGTTCAGAAGAGTAACTATGGTGACTGACAGCCGGTGGTTATATTCCAGGTCCAGTCGATACAGGACAGAGTGGCTCCACTCCCAGGAAGATTGGGGTCAGAATGCTAACAGGGACAGTCAGCACCGAATATCACGGCTGATCTGGCTCCTGACACTTGGACACAGGAAAATTATGGAGATTTGAAATTTATAAGCAGTAAGGTTTCAGTGTTTCAAGTTATGATTATTTACAAACTCTTCAGCCTCCAGCAGATCCCTGATTTGGGCTCACTGTGGATCAGACAGCCCCGATTGGGTACACTGTAGATCTATACTGGTTTTGTTATTTTATTACAGGTGAGATTTTACAAGCCAGCGATGACCTTTCACGAGCGATAAACTCCTACAAAAAGGTGGTTCAAGGACAGGCTGTAAATGGGGAGCTTGACCTGCCTGAACTTACAAGACCATCAGGTAATTTGCTTAATAATGAATCTGAGTTGAGATCTCCTACTTGTCTCTCATCCACGGAATCTGTAGACAGCACTAGCACTGCAAATATTCAAGTGGGAGGAAATACATATAATAAGCAGGCAGAAACAGAGTGCACCTTTTCCAAAGTGGGTCTTTTTGTCAGGTACATTCTGAATCATGTTCTTTCATTACGCTTGGCTAGGTGAATAATACTCATACCTAACAGTTAAAATATTGAGAGATTAAGTCCCTTCAGAGACTTGAGCCTATAACACAAGTTATCATTCAGTGCTGAACTGAAATTTTACAGTCCTGCCTTGGGATAACAACTGTTTCCACGTTGTTATCACAAAACAAGTTTCTTATCTCAGTTTGCCTCCAATTACAGGGCCTCGAGCTATGGAAGGTGTGTGCAGGGGCACAAATTAATTTTAAAATGGCCATTTAAAATGCAAGGGAGTTATCTGCTGTGCTTGGATTTGATCAGCTGACCATGTGTTCATGTCTTGCAGTGAATAGTGGAGCCACTAACACGGAGACCCTAATCGATCTGGCTGGACTGGATGTTCCCTCGGAAAAGGCTTACCCCACCATCTCGCCAGTATTCCCCATTATTCCACCTCCACCACAAGCCTCCAATGATCCTGGCTCCCGAACTGCCAGCCTGTCAAACGTGGCCAAGCAACCTCCCAGTTCTGTTGGACTGCTGGATGTGGAGCTGCTTTCACTGGGTAATGTGCAACATCTGTGCAGCCTGCAGCCTGTCAGTAATCCTCAACCTGTTATAATCCAGTATTCTTCTAACCTTGGAAGCTGGGTTAAACCAAGATCTTAGCAGTCCTGTTATGATATCAGGAGGGTTTTTAAATGGCAGTGTTCAGGTGGAATCCTGGTTTGGTCAGGAATAACTAAGGAGTGTCCAATAAAGTTAATTTGACTTTGGTCCAGCCACATGGCTCTGCCCCGTATGTTAATATCTATGAAGGTGGAACAGTTTCCATGTTGTGCAACCAGTATTAGTACCTGGCCCTTCGTCCTGGGCAACATTGTGTTACAGCCCGAAACTTGGAAAAACTCTGAGCTCTTGGCCTCTTGCCATTGGCAACTGGGACAAGGCTACCAGATTGCAGCCATAAAAAGAGGACGGGCACAACTGTGTGTAAATTGCCCTGTTTGCCAAAACTGAACGTCTAACTCATTGCACCATGCAGTTGCTTCTCCGTAATGTTTTGCCAATTTCTGCCCCAGTCTGGGCATCCTGAGACTTGATAGTCCCCAGTGAGTGCCAGGGCATCAGTCAGAGATGCTTCATTGACCCCAGAATGACACACAGTCAGTCTAGATCACAGGCTTCATCAGGCACTAACTGCAGGGCATGGTGGAGAATCGCAGAAATTCAACCATGTGGCTGTCTGCTAGTGCCCCTTGTTAATTATGGATGGGTGTGGTTAGTGGACAAGAGTGTTTAGTCAATTCTACATTAAGCAGTGTCATAATTCAAACGCGGGATAAATTCTATCTGTTCCTGTTCAGGACTGAATGACCCTCCATCAAGTTCTGAGATTGACAAAGACTCTGGAGAGTCTCTGTGGAACAACTTTCAGGTAGAACAATTCACTTGATCCTTACCTACCCCTGGATTTTTAATTTGCCTTGTCTTGTCCCTCATGCTACTGCCTGCTGTCTTCAAATCCTCCACGTGCAGCATGGCCTTTCCCCATCCACCACCTTGCTCTGTCCCCCTTCTCTCTGCCTGCCCTCACCACTTGACTCTGGGACATTCTGCTGTAGCCTCCTTCAGGGTCAGTGTGTGGCTCTGATTAATGTTTTATAGCTGTCACCAGATGCTGTTTCCATTAACAGGGTTTTCTGTTCCAGGTTGAACCCTCTGCCCTCAACCCCTTTGCAGGGCCGCCAGCTGCTGATGGACCAGTTTCCTCCATCACTCCTCTGCTGCAGTCTGTACCTCGAACATTAAACCAGTCTCCAGCTCAGTGCCTCCTGCCGTTCTCTGGGGTATCTCAAGCTCCACGTGCAGCAGCAGTTCCTTTGCTTATGAACGCTGCCACCATTGTCCCTCAGTCTAACCCAGTCTCCGTGTTTCCGATGCCACCACTGGAGCCCCGGATTCCAGGTGCTTTGCTCCATTCCAGCTCCTGTTCCCAAACGACATTCAGCAGCAGTATGCAGGAGCTGGATATGCTTGGTCAGAAGGTTCTAGAGGAGGTCAAAAGGTAAATCAGTATTTTTCATTACTTTCATCCTTTGTGAGGGACAGTATTTGTCTGTGAGGTGGGGGAAAGTGACAAGTGAGAGGAAATAGAGAGGTGATGAATAGGATTATGAAGGGGCAGGAGTTGGCAGAGGAAAAGGGAAGGGTTTGGAATGGCAGGGGATGGATAGCAGAGGAGTTGAATGGAGAAAGGGAGGGTTGGAGGGAGAGATTGTGGGGAATAAGGTTAAATTTCATTTATCATTATTAAATTCTCCTGATCTAATTTGCCTTTATTATCCTGTCTGGATAAGGCAGTAATTTGGGAGAAAATTATGGCAAAGGCTAGAATGTAGGCTGTTTTTAAAAAGTAAATAACCTTGTTTTCATTTCTGACTCTAGTGCTTCTGGTATGGCGGGGATTGTCCCTGGGGCACCAGCAGGCAGTGGGTACAGTACACCCTCTGCGGCCCCCAGCAGTCCCCTGTTCCGCTCTCTCTCCCCTCAGCCATCCAGTCCTCTCCGAAGTGCTTTTCCAGAAATGTCACTGAGCAACGTGACAGTTCCTCTGGAGACAATTAAACCAAGTGAGTATCTTTAAAGATCTGTGTAAAATGGATTGGGAATAGAATCATGTTCCCTTGAAAACGTCTGTGTAATGAACAAATTAGAAAACTGGAGATTTCCTCTCTCCCATTCTCACGTCTCCTGTCACAGATTCACACTCCCAGTCTGTCCAGGTACTTATGATTTTGACGTTGGAGTTTGAAATTCCACTCTCCATGCCAGGCCCCACTTGAGTTCACTGTTATGTGAAGCTTGTTTATTTCAGTGTGTAGGGAGCTAAAAGTTGTTGAATGGTCTTATACACATCCAGCTCAGAGTAAACTTGGGGAGTGGTGCAAGAATCAGCAAAACAGGATAGCCAGTCAGAAAAAGCATTGCTCAAGAATAAAATTGGAACCAATTTCATCTCTTTTTTTTCTTGTTTTTGTGATTCTTCTCAGAAGTGGAATTTTTTGTCTTTCAGACAACTTATTGTGTCATCAAGCCACTCCCCTGGCATTTACAGAATAGGGTTAGGTACAGAGTAAAGTTCTCTTTATACTGTCATCATCAAATTCTCCTAGAGCAAGCACAGTACAAGTTAGATACAGCGTAATGCCCTCTGTACAGGCCAGTTTCAGTAGGGATTGGATACAAAGTAAAACTCCTACACTATCTTGTCAAATACCTTGGCAGCAATCTCAGAGGAGTGGTTCCCTACTGTAAATATGAAATACATTCGCAGCATCAATCCTGTGGCTTATGCTCGAGAGGCATTTGGATACTAAATTGGGATAGATTTGTACGATAAACCCCTGGCTACTAGCTCCATGGAGAATCCAAAAACAAAGAAAACTAGATTTACTGAATGACCCGCCCCCAAAACAAAAAACCCAGCAAGATTGCTCTTTCTTTAATACAAATCTGAACCTATGCAAATTACACATGAATTAACAGGGAAATAATACTTCATCTAAAAGGTTAATTTCACTTCAAATAGTCAATCCAACAAATGTGTGTCACATTCAATCACAAGCATCCATTTCATTCCCCGAACAAATGTGGCACGCTATGCAATCTCACATTCTTTCCAACTCTGCCTCAGGTACAGAAGAGGATTTCTTGCTTTCTCCCTCAATAGATTCAGGCTTTAAGTCTCATATATTGGCACTTGTTCTATCCACAGTTCCCAGACATGATTGATAGTGACAAGGCACACACCTATGTCTCTCATTCAGATCATGTCAGTTTTTAAACTCTCAATCTTATTCTTCTAATATAAACTCTGTTCTTCCACAGTAGCTGAACTATTCACACTGCTTTTAGTCTTCAGTCCCTTTTAGCTCTTCTGTACATTGTGCTCAAGAGCTTCTGGAACTCTATACTTTACTGTTGCACAGATAGCTGACTGACTTTTTTTCAGATTTCTCAGGAGTTTAAGCACACCAGGAGTGTGAGAACTGTATCCTGCTGCAGAGCTTTTGTGTCCGCATCTGTATGCTGATTGCCTTTTGTCTCCAGTTTTTCTTTGTGTCTGCCAACTACATGGCTTCCAGCCTTAAGTTCCTTGTTGTTGAAACTGTTTCCAGGTCAAGCATCACCAGACATTTTGAACTGGTATTTCTTGTTATTCAGGAAAATTATAACTGATTCCCTTCAGAATTAATACAACCTCTCAAAAGTCCTTTTATTTAAAAAAATCTTAAAAACAATTATAGATTTCTATACACACAACTTTGCCCAAGTTGGACTTTACTGATCATCCATCTCAGTCAGGAGTCTTTCACCTTAATGTTGCACAGGGAAGAGGAAATTTCAAATAGGATTTATGCTCTTGACCACTACGCGGGCCCCTCTGTCTGCAAAGTCAAGTTTGAGTATAATGTCTTCTGAGGCTGAACAGCCTAATGGCATTTGTAAAGTCCAGGTTGACAGGTGACAAGCTATGAAAGGTTCAGACACTAACCATCGGACATTGAGAGGTGATGTGAGGAATGATTCTTTTACACAGTGAGTTGTTGTATTCTGAAATGTGCTGCCTGAAAGGCTACTTGGAAGCATATTCAAGAGTAACTTTCAGTAGAGAAGTGTATAAGTACTTAAAGGGGAAGCACTTGCAGGAATACAGGAAAGTCGCAGGCTGAGGGATTAGTTAGTTAGTTCTTTCAAGGAGCCAATAGAGGGAGGATGGGCTGAATGTCCTCCTGTGCAGTATGATTGTCTGACTGTAGCATATGTTCTCATTGTAGGTAATGTCCACCCTGTGACTGCGTATGACAAGAATGGTTTCCGGATCCTCCTGCACTTTGCGAAGGACTGTCCTCCTGCGAGATTGGATGTGCTTGTGATTGTCATCTCCATGATCAGCACCTCATCCCTGCCCATCACCAATGTGCTTCTGCAGGCTGCTGTACCCAAGGTGGGAGCCAAAACAGTCTTGGATCATTAATAAGCACAATGTGCATTTACACTAGGACTTTACCACACTCGGAACAACCCAAAGCTTCACAGCCAATAATGTGCCTTTGAGCATCACCATCTTAGAAAAAAGAGCATCTAATTTCCATTCAGCAATCTCCTGTCTTTCTGTTCCCCTCTTATCATTCACTCTGTCTTCCCATCTGTGTCTCTCTCTCCTCCCTCCCCCCAATCTCTCTCTTTCCCCTAGACATTAGGATGAGATGAAGAGGGGGTTGGAAGGTGGCTCGTGGAGTGTAAAGACCAGCATGGAGTAGTCTTTTAAATTTATGTAACTTCAAGCGAAAGCACAAAGATTTCAAGGAAACTAAGTAGTGTCATTCTGACGTTTAACTTGGACAAGGCTCTTATTCCAGTGCTATTTAACCTTTTGTGTCTCATAAACTTGTTTGATACATTAGAATTTGTAAGCCTGGGGTTTGGATGAATCCTAAGTTGGAGTGTCAAGACTGGTTGATATCATCTAGTTAGGCTGGGTGGGAAATACTAGGAACCCACATCCACAAGGGTCTCCGAAGCTCCCTGGGAAACAAATTTATCACCAGATATGTTGGAGGCCCTGAGATTAAATTGGAATTCACAACATGAGCATTGACTGTGTTCTCTGTTCATTCACAGACAATGAAAGTGAAGCTGCAACCTCCATCGGGAACAGATCTTGCTCCATTCAATCCTATCCTGCCTCCAGCTTCTATTACCCAGGTTATGTTACTGGCAAATCCTCTGAAGGTAAGGCATTTAGTCAAATCAGCACATGTATTTACACACGTACTGGTTTATTCTCGTGTATGTGCGCATGCTTGTGTGCATGAGTTTGAGCCAACCCTTTTCCCCTCTGCGTGCTCTCTATTGCATCTGGGCTGTTTACCCTCCTTCTCTCTAGCTCCTTTCTTTCTAGCTGTTCTCTCTCTCTAGCCTCCTCCAGCTCTCAAGAAACAGAAAACAGAGTAGGCCCTTTGTACCTGTTTCACTAACATGTTTGATCCTCTCTCAATTCCATATTCCTGCTTTCTCTCTAGTCTCCAGAAACCTCTCTTGCCCCTTAACTTGCTCCCTTCCCAGGTGGCATTTCTATCTTCTCCATAATCCTCCCTCAACTGTCCCTGCCTTCTTTGATTCTTTATTACCCCAGGTGCTGATATATTTTGCTGTGCATGAGAATGACAAACTTTGAGTGGGTGACTTCCTCCTAGGCTTCTCTTGTGTGTTTGTATTTGTAGGAGAACGTCAAACTGAGATACAAGCTAACTTTTACAATGGGACAGCAGTTGTGCTCAGAGATGGGTGAGGTGGACCAGTTCCCCCCAGCTGAAAAATGGGGATGTCTTTGACCCTTCACTATCGCTCATAGTTTCAAATACGCCAAACACCTCCATATGCTTGAAGCACTTGGATCGCCTAACTGAAGCACTGTGCCATCTGATTGCATCTGGAACTGATGAAGGAACAAATTGTAACCTGGGTCTGTGGTCCATGTCTGTAGCAGGCAGGGCTTGGAATCTGGCATTTGACTTTGCTGTTTTGTTGCACAGCTGAACTTTACACACTTGTACTCAAAATCACTCCAAATCTGCTCCTTATCAGAGGCTTCTATTACTATTACGAAAGGGTCAATTAATGTTGCAGTGATCAGCTAGAAACTTCATTAAGCGACTGGTTGAAATTGCAGCTCATGTTAGATCCTCACTCTGGCTGAGTTTCCTAAACATCAAGGCTTCCTCATTGGAATTCTCCAAGCAACCTAGGTTCCTGCTCTTGATCGCCATTCAGTGACCCTGGCTGGAAATGTGAATGTCCAGACACCAAATGGAGGACCGGTGTTGGACTCTGCTGTGATAATCGCTGCCTTGGGACACTCCTGAGGAAAAGCAGCACTCGCGGGACAGTGAAATAAAATTTTTAAATGCTGGGAAGACTCAGCATCTGTGGCAAGGGAAACAAATGCTTCAGCTTGATGATATTGTATGAGAGCTGGACATAATATGAAATAACAGATTTTAAACAAGTTACAAAAGCAAAGAAATAGGAAGAAGGGAGGAAAGAATAAAAGGAACACAGTCTATGAGAGGGTCAAAAGCAGGAAAGACTAAATGTCTAAAGGGACGATACTGCAAGACCAAAAGAGATGGTAATGGATCAAGTAAAGAAAAAGCTGAATTATCACTAAGTTGCTTGTGAAACAAATGGGTCATAATCTGAAATTGTTGTACTTAGTGTTGTGTCTGGAAAGCTTAAGTGTCTAATGAAAAGATGGAGTATTAATCTCAAGCTTCCATTTAACTTCATTGAAACAATATGCAGGATGGAGAATAATTTCTGCTCAGGTGGTCAGAGTCACCCTCACACTTAATGGTGTTCCCAAAGCATTCATCCTACCTGAATTCATCGTCCCTGCTGGAGAAGACCACAGTCTAGGAACAAACCTTATTAATACGGAGAAACAAGAGCCATTAGAGCTGCTATGGCACTGAACTTGGTATAGAGGTCTGAGGTTGTATCAATGTTCTCTATCATTCACAACGATGATACAGCAGGTGATGGCAATGATTGCGACAGGAGTCTGTCAACTTAAAACTTCTGTTCAAACCACTTGTTATTTACACTGTCCCTCCCCATCAATAGGGAAAATCTCTCACCCAATTTCTACCCTCCATTCTGTTAAAATTCCATCCTGTTTTTCCTTCCTGGTATCCCAGTGGCTTCACCTGAATAACTATGAACTGCCTGTAGTTTATTCACCATTGCAGTCTGTTAATGAGCCCCAAGTATCTGAAAAGCCCTTTATTCCCTTGCTCAGCTGAGTACAAACATCTAGTAGTATGATTAATTATCAGATTAGTACCTGGGGCATCTTCACCTAAGAGTGCATCCTGCTGAGGGGCTGCAGAAGTGACCCGGTCAACTGCATAGTTGGAAACTGAGAGTCAAGCCCCTGTGGAGTAGGACATCCTCAAACCACTGCAGCTTTGGGACTGATCTATTTTCACAGCTTTCCATAGCTCAACTGATTTGTGAAGCACTCAATTCCTCCATGCTGATCTAAATGCAACCTTTTACCACTTTTATAAAGCTGACATATTAATCCTTCTGGTCTTTTTGCTGTAACTCAGTTGAAATTGATCATCTTCCTCCTCAAATGAGACACTGTACATTCCGTTTTCTCCACTGAATGCTTTAACTATTTGGGTAGCTGGATATCTCACTGGTGTCAGTGTTTGGCTGTGATCAGCCTTTCGCTGACTTAAGTGTCTCCAATATTCAGTTGTCTTTTCTCAGTGCTTGTGTTGTCCAGTGTTAATTGTCATTCAAGAAGAGAGCATGCACTAATACAAACAACTCTGCTTCAGTCTCTTCTTCCCTAGTCCCTCCAATGCCCAGAGTCTAACACTCAGCACAAGCTGCCATTTTTGCACAGCATTTGGTCAATTAAGATGTGACTTCCAGTGCAGTCATGTGTTGTTGCTGCTGCTTTATATAATGTATTTATTGTTCAAAATCAAAAGACTTTATTCCTGAACATATCGCTCTATATCCAGCACAGTTTCTGCTCAGAATTTAAAAACTGTAATTTGTAAATATTTAAGGTGTGTTATTATTTGCACGATTGAAATAAAGTCGTTTCATTTTAGCTTTGATTTCTTAACTCTTCCTTTCTCCACCCCCAAAAACAGAAAGTTTGCTATCATTTACACGGGCTTCCAAAAGGCATTCAACAGCGTGACTGTTAGTAAATAGGCAAGCACTTTGTTGGCAGGTAGGTCATAGATACAGAGGATAAAAATTGATAAGGTTTGCCCCCTGGTATCCCACAAGGATCTGTACTTGCACTTCAGCTGCTCACTATTGTTGTAAGTGACAAATGAAAGAATAGAGAGCTGTTGCTCCAAGTTCGTTGCAAATAGCAGAGTGTGGATGGGAGCTGAGTGGTGGCCTTTGCAGCCTCAAAACTCTTACCCTTGGGGTCCCACCCTAGGGAAGCGCCTTGTGAGGCTAAATGCCTTACACTGAAGTCAGAAATCAGAGTACTTTACTTCATAAGTGGTGATAATTTAGAAACTATGGAGGAGCAGAGAGATCAAGCACACAAAATTACAAATTGATAGAATGTTGGCCTTCGTCTTCCAGTACCCTTCAATCAAAGGGGTGAAAAATGAAAACCTAAATTAGTGTTAAGGGTAGTTAGGATCATAGAACCAAAGCAGATAGATGGAATTTAGATGCAGATCTGACATAATATAACCCAATAGTACAGTGGATTATAAGGGCTGATTGGTCTCTTGCCAATTACACCAGAGTAGAAAAGTCATATTAGATAATTTAGTTTACTCTGAACTCATCCACAGCCTGGCACTAGAGGATTCAGATCATTCCAGTCTCCTGCACAATCTGGTGATGGGAACGTTGAGAGACTGCCCTAGTTTGTACAGCCTGATCAGGAGGAGGGCAAGGGAATACTCTGGTTTCATACCCAGGGACCAGGTCAGGTTCTTTGTCTTAGTACTCCAAAATTTGGATCCTTGTGGAGCCTCCAGTATATGGCAAGTCAAAAATTGACCTTTCCATCTCAGGGAGCACAGATTCTGCATTCTCTTGTTTCTGTGGGGTCACACTGAGACAGACATGTTTAAGCTAGGGTCATCCAAGCTTTCAATCAAATTTTTGCAGGAGTGTTAATACGCAGTCAGCAACTGGCTTCAGGGAATGCAGTCTATAACAAGGATACAAACAGCTGCAAAGAGTGATAAACAGGTTGTGATTGAGTAACAATTTGGCAGGTAGAATATCATATGCAGGTGAATAATAGATTATTTACTTTGGTAGTATAGTAAGTACAGGAAAGCAGAGGTACAGCAAGCCTTATGACATGTTATCTTCACTGGAATATAAGAATAAGAAACAAATATTGCTACAATTTCAAAGGGTCTCGACAAGACCATAATATCATGTACACATTTGGTTAAAATCCTGACACTCTCCAGCAACAGCGGACATGGCCAGTCTCATGGACTGCAGCAGTTCACTATCACATTCTCAAGGGCAATTGGGTATTGACAGTAAATGTTGATTTAGCCAACGATGCCCACATTCCGTGAATATATATAAAAATAAGCAAAGATATACTTGCAGCAGAGGTCCACCAGTTTCAGCTCTGGGCTGACAGGCTGAGTGAATTGGGTCTATCTTCTCAAGTTTAGAAGCATACAGGCTTCTGAAGGTTTCTGATAGAATAGATGCAGACAGATTGTCTTCTAGATTCCCAACCAAGGGGAAAAACAGTTTTAGGAGAAGGGATCAACCATTTAAAACAGAAATGAGAACTTTTTTTCACTTGAAGATTTAGAATCTTTGGAATTTACCACCCCAGATGCCTGTAGATGTTCCGTCGTTGAATGCAACAAAGACTGGAAGGAGAGATTTTAGGTCTGAGGAAATTAAAGGATATTGGGGAGTTTGTGTGAACTGTAGTTGAGGCAGAAAACTGTCAACTGTGACGAAAAAAGAACTTGAAGGAGCCATATGTAGTCTGCCCATTTCCCGTGTACTTTTGTTCCCTCATAGACGGAGAGGATATGTGTTTCCGATGTGGGACAGAACAGAACCCACACTGTCCTGCAATAGCGGGAAAGATTCAGGCGGCAAGGAACATACAGCGTGGAGGAGGGAAACCTGCATCAAACTTGGATGTGCCAAGGAAATGGAACCACATCCATTGCCTGCAGCAATACAGTTGAGCCTACAGACTCCCTACTGCCTAGCAGACAAGGGAGAGCTAAGCTGGCATTGACCCCTGCAACTTAATAAAGCAACCTGTTTAACAGCCAGAGATTTTTTTCACTTAACTTCCAGTTGCTGTAGTTAATTAAACTCAGGCTAGATCACAATGGGGTCACTGATGACAGACCCAAGTAGCTGCAAGCCCTCACAAAATAAAAACAAAGTCAGGAGAGGCTGACTGTCATATAATCCACTTCCCTAATCCCAACCCTGGGCATTCACCATCAACAAGTCAGCACCTTCAAGAACTGGGGGTAAGACTGACAGAAACACAAGGTTATAAATGTGTAGCTCCTCTTCTCAAGCTTCAACTCAGCATCTAGTTAGTCACAGCAACCAAGTACCAAGCAATGCCTTTGGATACAAAATATTTTAATTGTGAATTTCTGCACAGGATTCAAAACCATGGAAAAATGCAACCTTTATTTACAAGCTCAGGCTCGCAGAGAGCCCACGCATCAAACTGGGCTAGCAGATCATATGCTCGGGTTATAATTCCAGCCTAATTTCAGGATCCTTGATGCGTTCCCTCTTGCACAATGGCCTTTGCCAGATTCCGAGTGAAAGCCAATCGGAGGAGGCCGAGTTGTGTTGTCTCCACCTCATCCTCACCCTGGAACAGAGAAAAACAAAAACTCAAAATTACAAGTTTGAGCTGTCACAGTAACAGGTCAGAATTAATCTCAGCCCCTCCCGTAACACCCCACTATCCACCCCATTCCAGCATCATCTCCTCCTCCTCTGCCCAGTGTCTAACTTAAATATCAACATCTGAGACGGGATATATTTGCCACGGAGCAGCATCGATTCACCAGGTTTAGAGGATTAAATTAAAGGCAGTTTGCATTGCCTTCAATATAAAATATTGAAGGGTGATCTAATTGAGCTCTTAGCATAATTCAATCAAGAGAAACTATTCCCTTTAGTGGAAGAGTGCAGAGCTTTGAGGTGCAGTGGTCATCTCTACCACTGGGCCAGAAGCTTAGGGTTCAAGTCCCACCTGCCTTAGGAGGTGCATCATAACATATTCAGACAGGCTGATAAAAATAACTACAGCAAAGTTATTCAGGGACAATATTAGGAAGTGATTCTTCACATCCAGGAGAGTTTAAATCTGGAACTCTCTTCAAAACATTGTTGAGTCAGAGATGCAACTGAAAAGATTCAAATAACAGATTTTTATTAGGCAAGAGTTTTAAAGGTTACAGAACCAAAGGTGATAGATGGAATTGTAATAACAATTAGCCTTGATCTAACTGAAAGGCAGAAAAGTCTGGAGGTGCTGACTATCCTCCACCTATTCCTACGTTTCTATCAGTAATGACTCACTGACATTTCCCAGGGTGTGTTAGCTGCTGAGTTGTTAGCTGTTAGAGTATACATGCGTAGAGTTGCCTCTTACCCCCAAAGCTCTCATCTCTCTTTCACTTTCAGTATTATCAGCTGTCACATCCTCCAGACAGTGCATGAGTGCATACGTCTGCTCTGTAGAAAAGATCACCTGACCAAGAGAAACAAAACAAAACAATGAGCAAACGGGTACAAAATGCATTGATCTCTTTCAGGAAGCAAGATAACATTTAATCATGCTACACTTTCATTCATAGCAGCCAGTTTACATGACTCAGCGTGCGACAATACAAAACCAACAATCACTCCTCCTGCATTAGCACAGGCTCACAATGTTGCAATTTCTAGTCTGAAAACCAGAAGTACAACAGATTGAGTCAATGATACTCACGAAGCTCAGTGCAACAACCAAGACAAATCAAAACATGGTGCAACTTTATATCTAGGGGTGGCATGGTGCTCAGTGGTTAGCATTGCTGCCTCAGCGCCAGGGACCTGGGCAACTGTCTATCTGGAATTTGCACATTTTCTTCTAAGTTTGCGTGGGTTTCCCCCATGTGCTCCAGTTTCCTCCCAGAGACGAAGATGTGTAAATTAGGTCAGGTGGATTGGTCATGCTAAATTGACCCGTGGTGTCAGGGATGTGCAGGCTAGGTGGATTAGACATGAGAAATGCAGGGTTACAAGTATACGAAGGGGTGGGACTGGGTGGGATGCTCTTCAGAGGGTCAGTGTGGACTTGTTGGGCCAAAGGGCCTGTTTCCACACTGTAGGGATTCTATGATTGATTCTATGAACATGAAGGATGTTAAAACTGGAAAAGGGATAAATTATACCATCATCAAACACTCCCAAAAACAGATACAGCACTAGTTCGGATACAGAGTAAAGCCTGCTCTACATTTGTGTCAAGTACAGTACAAATGTTAAATACAGAGTAAAGCATCCTCTACACTGTCCCCATTAAACACTACCAGAGCAGGTTGGTTATAGGTTTTGGTGACACTGACAAGGCAATATTTGTTACCCTGACAACATGAAGAATCAACCAGAGTGTGGAATAAGAATTGTAAAGAATCCCATCTTCTTACCCAATCACATCTAGGGCACCTTTCAATCTCAGCCTCTTAAGTGGGTGTGCAACTTTGGAACATTCAGAAGGTGGGAGAAGGAGGGTCATTGAATACTTTTAAGTGGAAGTGGATAGATTCTTGTTTGGCATCTGAAGGAAAAATTATTGGGGGTATTCGGGAATGTGGAATTCAAAACACAACAGATCAACCATAATCCTACTGAATAGTGGAGTGGGCTCGAGGGGCTGAATGGTCTAATTCTGCTCCTAATTTCTATGTTCATAACTAGAAGCAAATATGGACTGAGCAACCATCATTATCCTTGCTTTCTCTGTATCTCCTATTAGATCCAGGCTCTCAATGAAGGGGTTGAGAGTATGGTTAGGAGAAAACGCGCATCCCATGTCATCTCAACTGATGCGTGTCAAAT